CATCCCATACCTCCCTAGTCCTCGTCTTTGAAGGCAACCTCAGCAGTGCGTGGTGCAGCAGGGCCCACAGGGGAATGCGGGGCCCGGCCAGGGAGTACCCACCGAGGAACAGTAAGGAAAGCTCAAGAGAGCCCCCTAGCACAAACACGGGGATCATCATGCCAGTCCTCCAGGATCAAGTCACATGACAAACAGAAACAGACACAAATACTAAAACCCCAGGTGTGCTTAAGGGCTGAGGGCTGCGGGCTGCCAGGGCATGTGCCGTCTTTTTTTTTTTTTCTTTTGAGATGGAGTCTCACTCTGTTGTCCAGGCTGGAGCACAGTGGTGCAATCTCGACTCACTGCAAGCTCCAACTCCCAGGTTCACGCCATTCTCCTGCTTCAGCCTTCCGAGTAGCTGAGACTACAGGCTCCCGCCACCATGCCCGGCTAATTTTTTGTATTTTTAGTAGAGACGGGGTTTCATCGTGTTAGGTCAGGATGGTCTCGATCTCCTGACCTCGCAATCCGCCCACCTCAGCCTCCCAAAATGTTTGGATTACAGGTGTGAACCACCGCGCCCTGCCATGTGCACCATCTTACTCTCCATCTGAGCTGCCACCCAACTGTGGTCACAGCTGTGGCCCCTTCTCTGTCTAGCTGAGGCTTGACCCAAACAAGAAACCACCACATCTCTTTACCATAGTCCCTTTAGGATGTCACCAAGCCCACAGCCCAGGGCAGGCAATCTGTGAACTGAATGAAAGTGAGTGGGTAAGTGAGAACGCTCTGGTGGCCAGGCCAGGCTGGCTGGAATGCTCAAAGTAACTGTTTAAAAAAAAAAAAAAAAAAGCCCTAGGGGGAAAACAATGGAGAAACTTGAGCAAGTCATCCAGTTGACAAAGCCCAGCTCCGGCACACACAATAGTAGCCATATGGCACACACACACCTAATAGGTCCACCTCCACTTCCAGCTGGGGAGCTCCTCCGGAACTGCCAGAGGGGACCCCAGCCCCTCCCCCAGCCCCTGCTCCTCCTCTGTGCGGGGGCCCTCACCTGCACACACTGACTGGGACCAGCAGACCTTCCCAGGACCTGCTGGATCTCAGGCTGCTTCTCCCAACAGCTTCTCGGGGCTCCTGGCTAGCTTGGTCCAACTTCCTGCACTCCACATGCCCAGTGTCCCCATTTGGACTGAGGCCCTGGTTCTCCTGCATCCTTCTTTCTAGGACTCAGCCAGGAAACCCAAGCTGTCAGGGAGCGCTCTCTGTAGGTGAGTGCCAAGCAGGAAGTGGGCTCCTGTTGAAGACTCTCTCTGGCTGTACCTGCTTGGCTCCCTTCCTTCTCTGAGCCTCAGTTTCCCCACTAGTGAGGTGAAGGTGGTTCAGAGGTTCTGCACATAGTGAGCCCTCCAGCTCTCCCTCCCAGCTGAAGGTGGTACTTCTTCCACTCCCTCAGCCCAAGTAACGGGCAGGTTTCCTCTTTCCTTGGCCTCTGGTGGGAAAGGAACTTTTCAAAATGGTCTCCCTCCCCTCAAATCCTGTCCTGAAACACAGGAAAGCCAAACATCCCCTGCTTCCTCCTGCCCTGGACACAGGGTCAGAAGTGACTGTGAGTGGCAGAGAGACTACAGGAGGCCTAAGTGCCCACTGCACTTCCTCAGAGCCGAATGGATCCTGACCGCAGGTCCCACGTCACCTTCAGAGCTAGGACAAACAAACCCTTCACCGAAGTCTAAACAGTGGGGGAGGCTTTGTTATACACTCGGAACATGCCGCCCCTTTCCACAGAGAGGCTTACCCCCAGGAAACATAGGAGCTGGCTCCCAGCTGACACTGTGTTTATGTAACAGCCTAGGTCTGTTCGACCCTGGGGCTGGGGGTGGAGGGCTCAGTCTCAGTCCAGCCTCAGAGTGTGCTCAGAAACGCCCAGGGAGTCTGCGCCTCTCCCTCCTTGCAGAAAGAAGGTGGGGACGCGGCTTCGCAGGACAGAGGCAATATGGTTTGGCAGATGGAGAGGAGTTCTATCGCAGGAAGGATATAGGGCAGAAATTGAAGAAGGAATTTTTTTTTTCTTTTGAAGACTGTCTACAGCAGAAAAGTGGGAACGCAAGAGAGGTGAGGTGGATAAAGATGACGGTGCCAGGAGAGGCTGGGCAGGGGGGAGGGAGGGAGAGCAGGGCAGCACGGCCCAGGAGTGGGAACAGCAGGGCTGAGAACGGATGTGTGAGCTGCAGCTGGGTCGGTCTGGTGACAATGAGACACCGGCTCCCAGGATTTCACGAGGGTGAGGCCGAGCTTCCAGGCCTAGTAGCTGGAACCGTGGGGTATTTCCAAACCGCAATGGAGAAGTTGGTCAGGGGAGGGCTCTAGGAGGGGAAATTCTGCCCGCTGTGTTAAATTTAAGACGAGGCAAAAAACTCAAGGGCGCCCCAGGAATCACAGCCTTCACATCACAAAAGATGCTCAACCAGAAGCTCCCCTGAGCTGGGGAGGAGGGGTCGCTGCTCATCAAGTTGGAGCCCTGGGGAGCCCGGAAACCTGTCCCTGCTCTGGGAAAAGCTCGGAAGCAGATGTGCCCCCACCCTCCTGTGGCCAGCCCACGAGGCTTGTCGCCCTCCAGAAGGAGCTGGGGGAAGGCAAGCTTGGAGCAAATCAGGAATGTCTTTACTTCCTCCAAGGACAGTGAAGCTGCAGCAACGATGTCTCTCCCGCCTCCACCCTCTTCAGATCTAAGAGGAAAAATTGGTCATCTTCTCTCTTTGGGGCCCAGCGCTCGCACAAATGCCATCTCCTAGTCCCCAGCTACAGCGGTGATTCAGGCCATTTACTCAGATCCACGTTAATGAGATTTTTCTGTCACCTAATTAGTTCACAGAGAACTCAGCCTTGAGAGGAAAGAAATAAGAACCGGTTGGGAAAAGGCAGAAGGAAGGCAGACTGCCATGTCACAACAAAAGATAGGACCCAGCACTACATGGGGTCCCCCCAGAACCAATACTCCTTCCTCAGCTATGGGGGCCTCTGAAAGTAGAAAGGGAGGTGTTCAGGTGCACTACCCCCCAGAACCTCAGGCAAGCAGATGAAGCTGGGAGTGGGGTCCTAACCTTAAGGCCCAAGTCAGGAACAGGCCCCTGCCCACAACTCCATGTTACCGCAAAAGGCCTTGGCTCTCGCTGCATTTCCACGGAGGCCAAACCCACCACCTGCCGGTGGGCGTCCCCTTTCAAACAGAGCTGGGGGAGGAAGCAGATGGCCCAGGGCGAGGCCCATCTGTCCGTGCCCGCTCGAAGGTCACCATGCCACTGGCGTGACTGTGGGTGCCGCCAGCACCCACCACACCAGGGCTTGCGAGCCATCTACCAGCAGCGTGCCCCTACTTCCTGTGCCCTCAATGGTCGAAAGTCCAGGGCCTAAGGGCCCAGAGAAAAAAGCGCTAGGCAGCGCAGTGGCCGGG